CTCCTGTCTGTTTTCCATCTTACCATGGGAGCACTGGAATTGCAGGTGCGAGATACTATCAGAGTTGAGGGGAAAATACTTCAAGCACTGAAGTATTCACTCTTTCCACAACTAGAGTTTTGACTGATACTTTTAAATTTCCTCTCCCTTACTGAATGGTTTGAGAGCAGAGAATGTGTCATTGTACTCTTCAATGCTCTCCTTTAGCCTTCAAGCCAATGACTTCTAAATGTTCTAAAGTAAATTGATTGAACCATACTGGGTAATACAAATGAAGCTTATAAGAAGAGGCTGACAGTGATCCTTTTCCGAGGAGAAGGTAGATTAATAAGATAGATTCTGCCACAGACCTGACTTTCAGGAAACATCTGAAAGCCTTTCCAGAAATCTATAATAACTGATGTGACTCCTGTTGATACAGTGTGAGGCTCATTAGTTACTGGTTCAGAAGCTAGTGACAGAGATGCTATTTGGAACCCATATATATGTATAGCTTTAATTATTTTTCAAAACAAACTTTTAATGATGGTTCTTAAACCTTTAACCTCCCTTTTAGCTCACCACCCACCAGAGGTAGTGGGAAAAAAGGATATGAGGGCAGTGGACCTGTTTAGAAAGGTTCTTTGGAGCAACTCCCATCTGCGTTGTCTGGAAATTGGCAGTTCAGTTCACAGGTTAGCAGCAGCAGGCAGCTCTATCCACTCACAAACACATCAGCAGTCCAGTTTGGTAGAGTTGGGATAGCAAACACGAATCAGCAATGGTGGCACGACCTAGCAGAGACAGCCAGGCCTCAGCCTCAACAAAAGTCAGCAGGAAGGACCAAGGAGAAACACCAGGAAGTGTTTTCAATTGTGCCTCTTGAGGCAAAGTGAAGATCAGTGAAGATGCAAGATCAACAAGCATTGCATGGCTAGCTGTATAAGCAAGCCTAGCTCCCTCTCCATCACTGTCCATTAAGCCCTCTTATAATCTCTCTAAACGCCACGTGTCCTCCACTAGTCTTGGCTCAGGAAGTGCATCTATCTCAGCTGACATCATTCTGCCAATCAGCCTGAGTCAGCAGAAATGCCAAGAAGCAATGGCACAACACCAGAAGTCTTTTGGTACTTTTTTCTCTATGGAATCCCAACAATGCAGCTCAACTATGCAATGTAAGACAGACCAATACTTGCATGTCCTTAGCAAAGACTCCTTTGTCACATGTCCTTTCATGAGCTTGCTTTAGCAGAACATCCTTTCTCCTGTGTTTGCTTTAGTGAAACATTCCTTAGTGAGTCTGACTTAGCCTTTCACCTGTGTCTGCTTCAATGAAATGCTCCTTCACATGTTTGTCCCAGAAAAACACCATCCAATATAACCGATTTTCCAAAGAACCCTTACGTTTCCACTTCATATATGAAAAAATACATATTCAGGAGCAAGAAAATGTTAGACAGAGAATTTTGAATATGATTATAGAAACAGCAGGGATACAGGATCAGACACACACACACACACACACACACACACACAGCTATAATACAGGATTTCTCATCCTAGGGATTGATGGACACTGAGGACTAGGTGACTCTTTTGTGAGGCTTAGTCTACACTTTGTGGAATATTTAGCAATCTATTTACTGAATGCTAATAATATTCCCTTGAGGCTTGCAATCCAGGAAATGTCCCCAGACATTTCAATATGTCCACCAGAGATGTTTAACAAAAGAGATATAATATTATTATGTGTTGCTTGGTCCCCACTTTTATAAGAGTGTGTCTAGCCCTGGACAGAAGTATGATTTAGTCACTGTCTTTCTTGGTCTCAGCCTTCTCATGGTATTCCCTACTATAGTGATGAGAACTCTTCCTTTCTTATCTCTCTCAAATGAACCATGTCCTGGTTATTGTAAAGAGTGCACTGCTCTGGTCTGTGAAAATTTTCTATGTTGAAATCCTGACATTTAAGGGAATAGTTTTAGAAGGCAGCATTTTTAGGAAGTTATTGAATCATAAACACAAAGCTTTTAAAAATAAGATTAGTGACTTAGATGAGGTTATACATTCCTCTAGTCTCTGCACTCAGGAAGCTAAGGCAGGAGGATTGTGAATTTGAATCCAATGCTGGCTACATAGTGAGGCCTTTTTAGTTAGAGACAGATAACAGAGAGACAGACCTGAGAGCAGCTCTCTGCCACTTCCACTATAAGAAGACAAAATAGGGGCCTCTATGAAAGAGAAAACAGACCCTTGGCCAATAGTGAATCAAATGATGGCTGGATCTTGAGCCCCTCAGCCTCTGGTACTATACAAAAGAAAACTCGGTGTTTATAACTGTCCAGTTTAGAGTGTTTTCTTGAGGCAGCCTGGATGATCTGAGAATACTTTAGCAAGCCTGAATTGTAATCAGTCAGGTTATACCTTTTATCTTGCTTTTATCCAGAAGTCTAATATAGACTGTTAAGTAAACATTTGCCGAAGAAAAGTCACTTTCTTTGTAGCATAATAATTTTAGGTATCTGTAAGTATCTACATAGGCTATAGTCAGAGATTCAGCCAAGTCCCATTGTACTCCAAATGCAAACTATTTATATTAAAATTGCAAGTGAAGTTGCTCCACTTAGCAATATGTAGCAACATGTAAGCAGCATGAGGGGAAGTCAAAGAGGAGAGTTTCCATGGATCTTTCAGATTAGACGTTTTGGCTCCAGTGGCTTAGTGAGCCGGAGCTTCAGCCGACCTAGCAAGAACAGATGGGAAAGTTAGAACCTAATAAAGAGTACACAGAAGATAACAACTGGTCCTCAGCCAAGATTTAAATGCTGTTTGAGGGGCAGACAATATCTCAGAGAGTTCAAGTTGCTTCTAGACAGGAGGAGAAGGATTTGGCTGGAGCTAGGTGCTACAGCTAGAATCTGGGCCAGGCCCCAAAGGTGCCTTTGTTCTCTTCCAGAAGAAGGGAGTGTCCTTTCTTCAGCGCTGGCCATTTTATTGCTGTCGAAAAGTTACAGCCAGTTAAAGTTGAATTACGTCCCCTAAAAGACACACTGAAGACTTTTCCCTCTGTGCCAAAGAAAGTCACCTTAGGTGACAATAGTGCTATTGCAAATATATGTAGTTTAAATAAGGTGTCTATGGAAGGGCTGGTCCTTCATGGAGTGTGACTGGTGTCCTGATAAGAAAATAAGCCCAGGAAGAAGATTACAAGTGAAAAGAAAAGGCAGACTGGAGTGTTTTGGCCAAAAGCCAAGAGCACCTAGAAGCCAGGCTGAGTTAAGAAAGATTCTTACTAGTATCAGAGGAACTGTGGCCCTCTTCAAAGCCTCAAGTTTGGACTTCTCTCAGGTAGCTTGAGTTGGTTTGGTTTAGTTTGTTCTGATCTAGTCTGATCTATTCTGGTGTGGTCTGGTTTGGCAATGCTGAGAACAGCCCAGGGCCTCGTGTGTGCCAGGCAAGTGTTCCACCATTACACTCAAACTCATCCTTAGTTTGAACTGCTAACTCCCAGAAGTGAGACATTCAGTTGTTCTAAGCCCCTGTAACACTCTGGCATAGAAGCCCTATGCCATCTCCAAGGACAAACACCATTGCTCTCTGTGTCCCCTCCAAGCAGACTCAGATCCCTCCACAGTTGTCATGGATGATGACCTCTTGTTGTTTAAATTCTGCTCTGCCTGGTGGCTCCTTCCCTGGGAATTACCACTCTTCCTCAGCTGTTCTTACACCGCCAGGATGACTTAAAGCTAGGAACCACATGGGCACTGCTTCCAGAATGAAAAGGGACAGAAACAACAAAGCTGGTCCACTCTCAGAGAAAATCTGCTTGGGTGTCCCTGTACCCACAAATCCTTCTCTATGGCTCTGCTTTTCAGTCCTTGCCTCATGGAGCCAGGAAGCATATCTTGTGTTTTCCCTGTGAGAGGCCAGGTTCATGTGTAAATCAACATCGGTGGCCATCAAAATGTCTGCATCCAGAGAGCACTGAGACACTTACAGTATTTATTTTTCAAGTTTGAGATGCCAAGAACTGAGTTCAGCATGCTTTCTACCACTGAGGCACATTCTCCCAATCTTCTCTCCTTTCAATTATCCCAGCAGTGTCCTAATGCATGCAATGTTTTATATCCCTGGTAATCATGATCCTCACAAGGAGATGTGTCAGTGGGATGTGTTCTCTTCACTACTTCTGAATACCTAAAAACAGGCTAGCTTAGTTCATTATCTACATACATGTAAGCCTGCTCTTCTGAGAGAATTGACTTTAATACACATACAATGGCCTTGTGTCAGAATGTAAATGCATTTGGGAGGGCAATATTTCAAGACAGGACAGCAGATTGTACCACATTCTGAGTCAAACAACTGATCACATGCAGCTGTTGAAGTGTTTATTGATTTTTATATCAATCTTAGTGACAGTTTACTGTTCTGGGTTCCATCTGATTAAGAGCTGGATAATCACGGCTTGAATTAGGAAGTATTAAATAAAGGGCAAGAAGAGATGAAATCCAAATTACAACGTGATATAGTAAGTGAAGAAGTAAAAGCAATGGGAAGAGCAAAATCATAAAGTAAGGTACGGAAAACATGAGCCTGTGGGTCTCCTATGGGCGGAGATGTAGCAGTAAATGAAATGGTCTTTTAAAAATTACCAATTTTATTGCCACTATTCCAAAATCATAAGAAAGGGGTGTGTACTGTACTGACCTGATCGTCCAGGTAACCAGCAGGAAGAGGGTTTTCTTGCTGATCAGTGTGACTTGAGAAGCCATGGTTTTGTCACAGTGGACAGAGCCTTTCCTGCATAAACGTGGCAAATCCTTTCATTTCTTTTAGCATGAGGAACAATGTAGCATCATAAGAGCCTTCATCCCCAAAGCCTTGTCCAAGTACCTGGCTCCCCGCCAGTATCCACTGTGGTCAGCACAGCCCTGGGTATTACTGTTTGTAGATGCTTGGTTGCTGATGGATGCAGGGTCTGAGAGTGGAGGCTGACTGGAGTCTGCTTGACCTCCTAGGTGCTGAGGTGACATACATGAACATGACCGCCTACAACAAGGGCCGACTGCAGTCATCCTTCTGGATTGTGGACAAACAACATGTGTACATCGGCAGTGCAGGCTTAGACTGGCGATCGCTTGGACAGGTAATCAACCCACCATACCTAAACTCTAAATCTGTGGCCATCAAAATGTCTGCCTCCAAAGAGCGCTCAGAATGTCTGCCTCCAAAGAGCACTCAGATAGTTACAGCTTTTTTTTTTTTTTTTTAAATTTAGGATGCCAAGGACTGAGTTCAGCATGCTTTCCACCAGTAAGGCACATTCCCCAATCCAGTGTTTCTTACATTTAGCTGCCTGGTTTCAAGAGGCTTGACTTTGTTTAATATGGAAAGACAAACTTTTCCTAGGGAGAATCATTTTATCTGATAAACAACGTGACCACTGTTGGGTCAAAGCTTAGGAACTCAGAAGATGCTACTGTGAGCATCTTCAGACCATGTTCCATATGGGTTATAGTGTCTAGACTTGAGTACTAGGGATGATATTGTACCATCAGTGAGGTGGGAAACCATGCCAGCTTAACACTGAACAATGTGATTTAGGACAGAAACCACATGGAGTATGACAGTCTTAAGGTGGAAATGTTATCACACTCTTCACAGCTAATTAATGTCAAATGTCTTGAAGATAAACTTACGTAGTCCTCTAATTTTCATATATTTGTGCTGACCAGAGCTGATCCACAGAGGATTATAAAACTATTGTGTTTCCGTGTGTCTGTGAGAATGAGAACCTCCTGGTCACTGGGAGCTTAAGGCACCTGACCACTTATACTGCAGAGTCCACACTTGCACATCCTCGCTGGGCTTTGGGTAAGGAGCACTAAGGGGAGACAACACCAAGATGCCAGTAATTCTCTGAACCAAGGAGAAAAATGCCATCACACTGATAACTGGAAATGGGAGGTGGTATGAGTACTGACTGCTTTGCATAGGTAACCATTTGCCTCTCTGATTCCATTTGTTCCTTCGCCTTTTTAAGCTTCTGTCTTTTCTGCTTCCTCTCTCCATCTGGTTCTCCTAGTTTATGGTGATGCAGGCAAGCATGCTCAAGTATAGAAGAAACAGACAGTATGCAAACAGGGTGTCGGCAACTCAGTTGTTTTTCTCTGCACTGAAGTGTTGGTATAATTCTAAAGGAAAACTACCAAGTGTGTTGATATCACATTAAGGAATAAGACAGAGCTTCCTCTAGAATAAGGTGATCAAGAGCAAGTGCAGATTTGAACTGTCATTTCTTTCCGTGGGTTGTTCATCTTGCTGTGGTTACTAGCCAGTCTGTAGGTTCTCTCTTTGTGTCTGAACTGTCTTTGATGCCTGTCTGCTGTGCTTGCGTATCACATGGCTCTGTCTTTCTGTCTCTGTCTCTGTCTCTGTCTCTCTCTCTCTCTCCATATATATATATATATATATATATATATATATATATATATATATATATGTTTGTATATGTGTATGTGTATGCATGCATCTGTCTGTCTGTCTGTCTCTCTGCTGTGTCTATCTGTATTGCCTGCCCCTAGAAAAGAGCATTGTTCTGCATTTGTTGAACACCAAAGAAAACATGCAGAAAAACAATGAGACTTTCTTAACAGAAACTTTTAGCAGAGTTTTACCAAGGAAGAAGTTACTTTACTGACCTAAAATAGCACTCAAATCACAAACAGATGTTATCAGCCTATGTCTATAGGCTGATATAAATGCTTCCAACATTTATGGTAGATACTGGTTTTGTTTAAGGTTGCTTTCAACCTGTTGGCTGCTTTCAGCAAATGATTATAACACACACATACACACATATTCTATTCTGGGTCAGGGCATAAAAGAGTACACAACTGACTATAATATGCATTTAGCTTAGGCTATAAAAGCTGATTACATGATAAATCCAAGGCCTAGTAAGCTTATTACACTGTTTTCTTAAAGGCAAGTTAAACTTAAACAAGCTGAGTACACAGTAGAATAGCAGTTTGCTTGTGAGGTCTTAATGATCTCAAGCCATTTTATAAACATGGCTGTAAGCTGGTAAAAGTTCACTGTCTCCTGAGACAAGAGGTGCTTCCCCACATCAACCACACCACAGCCAAAGTGGTTTATCTGGTTTCAATTTTAAAAGAAAGTTAAAGTAATCTAGGTTAGACTGTTATTAATATGACAGTGTCTCACTCCAGCTATAGATTGGACCTCTCAGAAATACAGGCTACAACTCTCTAGAGAGGAAGACATCAAACATTGCTTATTTTATATCTATTCAGAAAATTAAGTGCTGTCTACAGAATTAAGTTCTGGGGAGGCTAAAGCAGAAAGATGTGTTGTGTTGGTAGGAAATATTTAAGCCATATGATGTTCCACATATGGACTTTCTTGTGGAAATGTCTTCTGCTGGTTGTAAATTTAAAAACAAGCCAAACTCCTTGTAAATCAGAGATGTGGGCCAAGACAGGAGAAGGGGGTCATTTCCTAAGTGCTTCTATTTACATGCCAGACACTATGCTGATGAATATTTTTTAAAGATTTTATTTTTATTTTTAATTGTGCAAGTGTGTGTTTACATGTGCAAGAGTGTGTGCATGCATGTGTGTGTATGCACGTGTGTGCACATGGGAGTGTGCGCACCCATCAGTGCATGGAGGCATCCAAAAGAGAGTAGGTTCCCTAAGATCAGGGACATAGAATCCTCCAGAAATAGAGTTACAGTTCTGAGGTACCAGATATGGGTGCTGGTAACCAAACTTAAGCATTGTGTGGGCTTAAGCACTGAGCCATCTCTCTAGTCTTTGTGATAATTTTTTTCATTTGTCATAACTATCTAATGGTAGATATTATCTCTAGATTCCTTTTATGGCAATCCCAGAAAAACATAAAACAAACAGATCCTGTTTCTACCCTTTCCTCATTCAAAATAATAAAACACACTGTAACCTGTCTAGGGTCAACATTGACAGTCATAGATTAACAGTTACATCAACCGAATCTGCCTCTTCCAGTTCATTCTTGGTGATCTGAACCACCCACATCAAGTAACTCATAGTCACAATGTTTTACTTTGTGGCTGGTGAACAAAAGTCCTAAAGATTGTCTTAGTTAGGATTTTATTTCTGCCAAGAGATGCCATGACCAAGGCACCTCTTGTAAAAGAAAACATTTAATTAGGGTTGTCTTCCAGGTTCAAAAGCTTAGTGCATTATCATCATGGTGAGAAGCGTGGCAGCATCATGGTGAGAAGCGTGGCAGCATGATGATCATTGCTAATAATGATCATCTGAATCCTGAAGGAGCTGAGGGTTGTACATCTTGATTCGAAGGTAACAGGAGACTTTGTCCCTGGGCCTACATTGAGCATCGGATACCTCAAAGTTCACCTCTACAGTAACACACTTCCTAAAACAGGGCCACACCTACTCCAACAAGGCTACGTCTCCTAATAATACCACTCTCTATGGATCAAGCATTCAAAGACATGAGTCTATGGCAGTCACCTATTCAAACCATCACAAAGACAAAACCAAATCTTGTTCCTATGCTTTCAATCATCTTCCCTGTGTTCCACCTGGAGCAAACTGCATTCCTTTGATAGAAGTGTAGTGTAGATACCATCTGGGAAGCAGGAGGTGTCTAGGAGTCTGTCACAAGAACACTTAGTATCCCAGTAGCTTTCCCATATCAACTGCCATTCACCCAGGACCTCTTTCTCACTTTGTCCTTCTGACTCTTCTCCACACCTGAGCATAAATACTGCCTCCTGCCTGGCCTATCTTTGCCACACCATTCTTGGTTTTGGTGCCATATTATCGTGTGTACAGTGAAGAAACCACTGAATGCCCTGGTCATGATTGGGGAATGTTCTCATTGTGGACAAGAGAGAAAAAATATCTAGAAGCAACTGGAAGAGCTTGGAACAGAGAAAGAAAGAAAGAAAGAAAGAAAGAAAGAAAGAAAGAAAGAAAGAAAGAAAGAAAGAAAGAAAGAAAGAAAGGAAGGAAGGAAGGAAGGAAGAAAGAGAGAAAGAAACAAAGAAAGAAAGAAAAGAGGACTGGACATGGCCGAGGCGATCTGTGTGAGAAGGGACAGTTGCGTGAGAGTACTGAAGGGAACAAGAAATGAAAACAGTAAAAGCAGTAAAGATGGGGTGAAAACCTTGCCTGTAAAGAGTGACTTCTGAGGGGAGAAGGGTCAGGAGGCTAGTGTGGGGCCTCTGAAATGTATAACTAGTCCTTGTGAATAGGAACTGAGGGATCCCGGAGCCTTCTGGACTTTGATATGCTCATCTCTGAATGTACATGGCAGAGCTGTAGCTCCTGTTTGCCAGAGGCAAGGGAAATGACTCTTTTTGGCAGAGGGAACCCTGTTTCACAAGTTCCTGAGGAATGCTGGCTTTTATGGGACAGCTAGAAATCCTTCTATAGCCCAGCTTGAATTGAGCCTAGACTGTCATTTCTGGACACGCCCTCTTCCTAAAACCCAACAGACACCTTGTCACCTTGAATGAGTTTCCTTTCAACTGTAATACATCTGCCAGGAGTTAAGTTCATCTTGTGCCATCAGCTTTACATTTTGTGAGTTTTTCTAGTGAAATCTAGATTGTTGCTAATAATGGTCTCTGAAATCTATGCTAAGTGAAAGAAATGATCAGAGCTGATCTTCCAACTTCCCTGCACCTTGGCCTTTCTCTATGTCTGGCTTCTCTCTCAGCACATGAAGGGCACGAGTTCCTTCCATTTTCACCATGTCTCTTACTTGTAAGTAACTCTACCATCACTTCATTCTACAGTGAAGAGAGGCCACAGGTCAGTTTAGAGTCCTGTGACCTTCCAGGAAATGGTGATGTTACAATTCAAACCTATGTCCTTCAATACTAAAGTTTTCACTTTTATTTGACCTTGACCACCACTAATTTTTAAAAATAAGGTATGCTTACCTAAAACTATGTTTATATTATTTTGTTAGGGTGAGAAAAATCAAGTCATAATTCTTTCAGAAATCTTGTTCACTTGCATCCAACAACAGGCCCTCCATTGCCCCAGAAATATGCAATGTGGTGGCCCTGAAATGACATCCCTTACTCATTTCTGAAGCTTTGTAAAC